AACCCAACTGTGAGATGTGTGACAAAGTAAATAATTTACATTAACTTTTAATTTATATTTAATTTTTTAAAATAAACAATATCTTATATAAAAAATAAAATTTATAAAAATTAAATATATAAATTATTTTATTGTATGTCCCTATGGGACGGCACAGGTGTTGTCTAGTTTATATTTAATATGAGGAACCCAACTGTGAGATGTGTGACAAAGTAAATAAACTATTTTAACATGTAAAATTGTGTTTTATTTATCTATACTCTCTCTTTATTCCAAAATAACTATGGTTTCTTCTTCTTCTTTTTTAATTAAGGGTTTTAGGACATTATTTGTATTTATAGGAAAAGTGTTTTGCAGGTTGTATTCCCAAATTTTTTTAGGACAAGTTTAAAAACTCATTTTTAATTAATATGTTGAAAAACTAATTGTTGAATGAAAAGTTCTATTTATATAAATTATATATTTCAAAATTTAAATTATTTTAATAGGTTTAACTACTAATAGGTCTAATTACTTCCCTGATTATATAAAATATAACACTATTAAATATATGTCAATAAATAAATTTTTTTAAAGAGTTATAAGTGCTAAATTAATATGAAAATTAATATACATAGTTTATATAAATTGAACTTTTAATTCAACAGTCAGTTTTTAAAAGTATTGATTATAAAGTAGCTTTTAGATAAATCTTTCAAAATTTTTTTTGAGAGAATGACTTACTCTACACTATTCTCTTATTTATAATACCCCTAAAAAAAGAAACAAAAGATAAAAAAAAAATTTGTAATTGAATAATTAATTAAAGTGAATAGATAATGATAAAAATTAAATTAGACAAAAAAATTTACTTACTTTAAAAAATAAAAAATAATAATAATTAATTTAAAATAAATTTAAAGTAAAAAAATAATTATTATTTTGAGATAAGTAGAATAAATCATTTGGTTAAGCTTTGAATTGGGCTTAACATGAACAAAATTTTGGGAACGTATTGGATACTTTTTAAATTCTAAGAAAATTATATACTTAATAGTTAAGGCTAATGAATTATGCAGCTTAACATCTTCCATTCAAGTCACAATAGATAAAGAATAGGAGGTTGCCTCATATTGTTTAATTCAAAATGTTCTTAAAAAATTAAAAAATTAAACTCACTTAATTTCTAAAAAAATGGAGCCAAATATATTATACAGTTAAGGCTAATGAACTAGGCAGCATACTAATGATATCTTTCCCAAGTAAAACAAGAGATATTAATTCAGGTTACAATAAATAAAGAAATATGAAGTTAAACAATATTGTGTAACTCAAAATAACCTTAGAGGATTAAAAAATTAAGTCCACTTAAAAAGACCCAATAGTTATGCATTTAAAGCCCAAGTTAAATGGATCCAATGCCAAACGGGCCAAAACTAAACTCGCAGTACACGAAACCCCATGTGTACCTGTACGGTTGTACCTATGTTGTGTGTGTGCGCGCGCCAACCCCCATACAATGTCAAGCGGCTACACAAACTGGGACTGTGTAAACCTCGTACTCTTTTTTTTTTTTTTTTGACAGGGGCAATGGTTATAAATTAAAAATTAAAAATTAAATTAGTACTTTATTCATTGCAAGGTTCGATCACTTATTAGAGATGTAATTTATCGACAATCTTATTGAACTGCAGTGATCACCACTGAAATACAACAGGGGAATGCAAACCTTGTACTCTTATACTCTAATCTTTGCATTAGTTATGTGCTCAGCAATATGCTTGCTTCATAGTTTTCTTACTATAATTTAATTACTCACAGATAACTTATCATTAATGGAGAAAGCAGCAGAATTAAGGAAAAAGGAGAAAATTGGAGAAAACAGAATTTAAAGCTAAATTAGCTCATCACTGTTTTACTATGGAATTAAATTAAAGCTAAATTAGTAAAAAAAAAAAAAAAAAACAGCAGAATTAGAGAAAAAGGAGAAATTTGGAGAATTGAAATTTAGGAGAAATATCAAACTCTGACTAAGAGAATTGGACAATAATTGATATATAATCTATTTCAACATATTATATAATATATTTATTAAAAAATTATTTTTTT